AATGACATACCTTCAGATGTCTGCTTCTATGATATTAAATACAGATCTATTGGATAGAAATATATCACAATAAAATACATTTTCCTCTTTTTATAAATATATACGTGTATGAATATATCTGTACACACCCGATTGTATCTTCTGATGTGACCCAGTGGAAATCAGGCACCTCAGCATGTTCATGAAATTAGACTTGTGACCTTACTGTTTTTTTTGGCTTTGTACCACAACCAACCTTTACCTATGAGGCCACTAGAGAACCTTTATTTGTAACTGTACTATATGTTATATGTTTAAATATTTAGGGTTAATGATTTTGATAGCATTTGGTACAGCATTCAATAGAGCGCCTTTCATGTCAGTAAGCAAGATGCCTTTCATGTCATGTCAGCAAGATGCCTCAAATCACTTCACAGGATCTGCTGCAAAGTGTAGTGACTGTGTGTATTTGTAAGTGAACACTAATAAAGGCGTCCTTGTATCTGAGAAACCCGGGTTGAAAATATCCAGTAAAAAGCCCGTTGCCAGAGATATTTCTGTAGAATTCCTGGCCATCTCAATTCAATCTTTCTTGGAAGGGATGTTTTTCTTATTTTTCCAAACTATTTAAAGGGCAAAATTGGGTGAGATGGCACTATTGCTGGTTAGGCATTGCAGGGTAGTAACTTGATACTTCTAATATGCTGTACGGACTCACTCAGTCTAATTTGTAGTATTCTTAAACAAAATTTCTTAAGAAAGAATCAATCATGCAAATTGTCAACACTGACAACCCACTGGAACTCAGCTCGATGCGATCTGCTGCATAACAGGGTTCCTGCTGGTTGACAGGAATTCTAAGGGGGTTTGTTAAATAGTGTGAATTAAACCTCATTACACTGTATACTATACAATTTCCTGTGATCATATCACTGGTTTCCTATTACAGGAAAATTTCTATATTTGTGTTTTTTTCCTGATGTTTGAGCATATGACTGTAGTCAAAAATATTAAATTTATGCTTTTTGAACTCTGTATTTAATTGGAATTGTACTTTAATGGATCACAGGTATGCCATTCAAATTAAACCAACCATATAGCTCGCTGGACACTGCAAGTCAACATTTAATCTAGCTGAGAGACATCCCCCTGTGTGTCCAATTTGTGAAATATTTATACTTTTGAAAATTGCCACTTTATGCAGATTCAGAGAGTCGATCCTTGCATAGAATGACTCAAGTCATTTGGTTGTATTCTGTTTGCATCAGTATCCTATATCTTTATAGAGGACATGCTTTTAGCATCATAAACATAAGAAAGTGGGTTGAAGGATCAAAGATTTTAAGATAAATTTGTTATAAACTCTTTTGTCATGTTCCTTAAAGCTTAGTACTTAAGATATTGTAGTGATGCAGCTGGCATAAGATGGTCTTACATTGTGCAATCAATAGTGAAAACAAACGAGTATCTGAATAATGTATTCAGAGATGTATAATTCAAAAGACGCAAAAATCATGCATCTGTGGATGTTTTAAAGTGCATTGTTTCTGTATTGTTTTTCTCAAGTGTCTGACATGTAGCAAAACCCCTTACCAAATCTCCAGTTCCAGTCCCTGAGGATTCACAGAAGCAGGGGTCTGTTTGTCAGTATTGCAGAGTGCAATTACTCCCCAGGGGGTATATATCCCACTTGTCCACGTCTGGAGAACACAAATCGTGGGTAGTTATCCACTTTTAACTCGACCACTAATATTACAATGTATCATATGCTATAAAATAAAGTGATGTGAGGGGCTTATCCTCTGTGTTGTAATGTAACTCTGTGCTTGCCACTTAGAGTGAATCAGTGGTAATGCACTTCTTATGGTAATAGTGCAATTCTGCACTTTCCACATTCAGATTAACCCAGTTTTCTCCATTTCAATTCCAATATTTCCTCTTAATTCAAAAATATATTCAAATCCTTTCTTCCAATGCATTGTCAAATCCGAACTCCATTGCACAGTTCTGATTCACTCTCTAAATTGCTTTTCGTAACAGACAGTCAAATCCTTCCCCTGAATTGAGATACACATTTCAGCTTCCTCTCTTATCTCTATTCTGAGTCTTTTTTTTCAGGCTCCTGTTTCTGGCATTTTTGATTCTGTAATTCTGACACGCTTTTAACTCTTAAAGTGCTGAAGAAAAATGCACTTGTTCAGGCATGATTGAATGAGCATAGGCTCCTTCTCACATTCTTCATGGTTTTAACAGTTCATCTGAAGAGACAGTAATACTTCAGATTTATGATGTGGCCTTTAGTATTTCAGCTTTTCATTATGTAGAAAACCTGCCTTTTAAAGTAGTTCTTTTATCCTAAAAGGTTTTATTCATAGGCTTTCTCTGGATGTCATTACAGATCTTATACTGAGAGTTAGAGTAATGTACTTTGCATTATTTTCAGAAATAATTGAGGTTAATGTTGCAGAAGAGAACAACAACAACAACAAAATTACACTTATAGAGCGCCTTTCACGTCGGGAGGACGTCCCAAAGGGCTGAACAGTCAGGTGTCGGGACCTGAGCATGGGGGAGGGGTGGGGTAGGGTTGAGGGAAGGCAGAGAGGTGGGAGGGAAACCAAAGGCATGGTCGAAGAGAAGGGTCTTGAGACCGGCCTTGAAGGAGGCAAGGGAGGAAGTGAGGTGAGGGGACCGTGGGATGGAGTTCCAGAGTTTGGGGGCAGAGAGGCTGAAAGCCCGACCACCGATGGTAGGGCGGGTTGGGTGGGAGACATGGAGCAGACCGAAGCCCGATGAATGGAGGGAGCGGGCAGGTTGGTAGGAAGTCAGCAGATCAGAGAGGTAGGAGGGGGCAAGGCCATGGATGGCCTTAAAGGTGAGGACGAGGATCTTGAACTCGATCCTCTGGGGGATGGGGAGCCAGTGGAGTTGGGCGAGGGTGGGAGTGATGGGTCACAGAGCCCGGTGCATGAGAGTATACGAGCTGCTGAGTTTTGGATGAGCTGCAGCTTGTGAAGGGAAGATTGGGGAGGCCGATGAGGAGGGAGTTCCCGTAATCAAGCCTTTAGGTGACGAATGTGTGAGTGAGTGTTTCGGTAGCCTGAGAAGCAGGGGGGTTTGGATGAAAAATTGCAACCTTGATGTGATAATTATCATTGATGATGTTGTCAATTTGTTAGCGTTTCACCATTTGCTCTGCACTCTCCCTCGCAACCTTATCAAAATGGTTGGGTCTGTAGCTACTTGACATTACTGGTGAGGCAGCCATTGAACTTGCCACTCCACGAATAATGGCAGTTAGGTACAGGTTTACCCAATACAGTCTTAACTCAACTATTAAAGTTGAGGGTTATTAATTTTAATCTTGTTTCTGGTTGACTGTGACGGGAAATAATCCTTTGTCTCTTGCAAAGAATAAGGAATAAGGATTTAATCTATAATAGTAATAATCTCTGCATTTGATAACGTGCTTTATCATATCATTGAGACGTCTCAAAGCACTTCAGAGAATATACAGTAAAGTGAATTGATTGTATGTTTTGTGGGCAAAACAAGGCAACCAATTGCAAACAGCAGTATCCTACAGATAGTCATGGATTGAATGACAAAATTATTATTATTATTTTTTTGCAGGTTTATTACCCCCAGAAAGCAATCCGCCAATCGACTAACAACCAAATTTCTACTTACTGCAGGTAAACAGAGGTGTGTGGAGTAAGGAAACGTACCTAAGGTTTCACTCTGCCTGGGGATTGAACCCAGGTCATATTGCTTGCGGAGTGATTGCTCTAACCATACGCTACACGACTCAACAATCTATATTGTCTCTTTTCAGGCCTTCAACAATTCAGGAATGAAACAGAATGAACATTTTCTGAAAAGGTACTGCAGTCGCTTCCCATCTCCTGCATGCAGTATGTTCATTTCTTGTGATACTGATACAAATTTGGTAAACTATTCCCCGGTTTGGCAAAATGTTATAATGGATCATTTTTGTGCTTGTTAATTCTATGTGAGGCTTTAACTGAGGCGCAAATTACATTTTAATGTATTCTGGTTTTCCTTTTATTAAAAAAGTGGAGAAGCTCCAGCAGCAGTGTGAGTAAGCCTTCAAACAGAAGGAAGGCTCAATTTAGCGAACAGGATTTAGAGTTCCTCATGGCTGAAGTCATGAGACACAAAGCCAGGATATTTGATATAGACAACCAGAATGTTAAAAACAAAGTGTGGAAAAAACAATTCTGGGTAGAGATGGTCACACATTGAAATGAAATGTAGAGGGAGGTGAAGGAACGCCACACGCAATGTGGTGTTTTGAAGCAGTAAGGTTCAGGATGAGTTGGCTTGAATTGATTATTAGCTGCTGCAGACTGATGACGGGAAATATTCCCTCTCAAATCTTCGGCATCCAGTTTTACTCCAGAACCACTGCATCTGCTGGACCACATTAGACCATTGGTTACACTATCCAGTGTATATATACTTAACATCAATGTTGTATTGCAGGACCACAACTGTGAAAGACTATTAGTTCCACAAAAATCTCCCTTTCAGCTGAAGACAAAAGCCCTTTCTTCATAAACTCTAACAGTTCATCAGCCTCTGACACTTGTGAAAGAGACTGGCTTTAATTACAATGGAAGAATTTAGATTAGTAGCTTAATGCCAAGCCTGGAAGCCATCATCTTGCAGACGCCTCCTGCCTCTTCCTGAAATAGCAACAACTCACGTTTATATATCGCCCTTCACATAGAATAATGTGTCAATTATAAACAGCAGATATTAAGTTGATGCTTTATAATAATAACAACAACTTGCATTTATATAGTGCCCTCACGCTGGACGGCATCTTGGAGCGCTTATATCTGACTGATTGGCATCTTACGCTGGTGATGACATTCTCCTCATGTAAACCTGATTAATCCTGATTTGGCAAGTGCCCTGATGCAGATCAGGGTAATTGGCGCATATTTCTGTGTTGATTTTCTACTTGTAGAACCCTTCGGATTATTCCTGCATTGGCAAGAATGCCCCTTCACACAATGGCAGCTTTCCTAGTGAGGAAGAGGTGCTTATTCTCAGTATGGGTACAATTGATGGAATCCAAGACAGCGGCAAAACACGTGAGTATCTTCAGGGATGTTTTAGGACTTATGTAGCAAGATGCCACTTGAACTAAGTAGCGTTGATTCAAAGGATATTATTTAACAGTTATTTTTGTCTGACTGATTTTCTCAGCTCTATTTGAGTGCACAAGTATTCTTTACTCTCATTGAAAAGGTAGTTAAGCTTCAGTTGGTATGAGATGTTTCTTTCTTGTGAAAGTTGTTATACAAAGAAAATACGTTGTTATGTAATAAATATGGCCTCATTAAATTCCGCCACTGAAGGTAAGCCCTCATACAAGGGAAAGTATAACTCTAAATGCACCCCAAGTATATATATTTCAAGTAAAGAATACTTGTGCACTCAAATAGAGCTGAGAAAATCAGTCAGACAAACATAACTGTTAAATAATATCCTTTGAATTAAGTGTATATATTTCATGTGAAGTGTTTGATTCTGGGAAGTTCCTGAGATTCAATGAATATCGTGAAAGTCTTCAATGTTTTTGTTGGAAAGTCTTATTGACTTTACAAAACTTTAACTGCTTGGGAAAAAATGTAAACCTCTTGACAAAAGTAATCTAGTTGATGGGACCTGATTTAACACTTGGAGGAAAGGAACATATGTGTGTTTTGTAAAAAATTTTGGTAAACACTATTTGTGTTTCATATATATTTTGGCATCAAGGAATAAAAGAAAATGAGTGGCACAGAGTTTTACTGCTTTTGTTTGTGATGTTTGTGGGTATAGGAATGGTGATAGCGACCGGACATCTTGACCTAAATTTACGTCATTCATCTAGATGGAAGGCTGAATGATTAAGAGCCAGGAAGTAAGGAAGGAACTTCCAATTTTATAGGCACTCTATTAAGTTCAAATGTCTTAAAGCATTTTGAGAGCAACTGGGATGTGTAGTGACTGGTTTGGTAAGCAGCATAGTCCATAAACAGCTGTAAGACAGATGACCAATTAATTAGGGAGGATTGTTGGCGAGGACACGGGCAGAAACTCCCTCTCTTTTCGAACAGTGTCATGAGATCTTTGTTCCATACATATTTGTCATACATATTATAATGTATCTAATGCAATACATTACAATATTGGAATGGGTCCTGTAGTGTCCCGATGTATAGGTGGGATTTTCTTGCGCTCATTTATATGGCTTAAGCTTTATTAAAACTAACTATAAGATCATACGATTAAAAGGAAATAACATTGTGTAATGGACGTAAAATAATATATATGTTGGTTGTTTCTAAATAAATGGACTTTTAGAGCTACCTGAAAACAGGAAGACAGATCCTTTGTTTAACACCTCATCTGAAAGCTGACAATGCAGCATGATCAAAGTGATGCGTTTCAGTCAATGTCATGACAGCCGTGTCTGTTACTAATTATTAAATGTGATTCTAAAACCTCCTGAAACTCAGTACATAAATTATCATTTGTTTGCCTGGACTAAAGCTACATCTGGCATGTAGAAGAGCCAGCAAATGACAATGGGCTGATTAACACACTGCAAGGATGCAACCTCCTCCTTGTTTTTCTTTTCATGGTCACAGCTGTTGGAAATATTGTAATGTACCCTGTATTGTCCAGATGCATCTGTAGGCGGGATTTTCTTGTGCTCATTTATATGGCTTAAGCTTATTAAAACCAACTGCAAGATAATACAATTAAAAGGAAATCGCATTTTGTAATGGAGGTAAAATAATGCATGTGTTGGTTGTTTATAAACAACATGCTTCCAAATAAAGTATTAATTCAGTTTAAGTTATGAATTGCCACTGGTATAAAGATAAAACGCAAATCATAGGTAGCTCAAATGCAAACTCCAAAAAACGATCTAGAGAATGTAGCTTCATCCCCATAAAAGATAACAAACAGCTCCTTTATACTAGTCTTCAGTATACTGTGAATTTATAATAATAATAATCCTTGCATTTGATATAGCGCCTTATCACATCATTCAGATATCTCAAAGTGCTTCACAGAATATATTGGAAAGTGGATTGACTGTGTGTTTTGATCAGACACAATATAGGCCCAGAGTATAAGGAAGTCTAATACCTTCCAGCCTCCAATGTCGACTGGTTTCCAACACATGGAAGGCCTCCTGGCATCACTCCTGTCTGCAGCAATTGCTCGTGCTTACATTGTGAGGATACACAAAGTGAGGCCCACTGATGTCATTAGTAATCAGATAACCCAGATGTGCTGACTGGTAGCTGCACTGCAGCACGACCCATTGCAACGTGGGGTCTGTTTATTGAGCCCAACCACCACACTAACATTCAGTCCAACTGTATGTAAGCCAACATTGAAAACAATTATCATAGACGTGAGCTCAATTCCATTTCTTCAGAACTCTAATCCTTGAGGATTCCACAGATTGTGTGAGCACATGCAAGTTTGTGAGGATAGTAAACCAGGAAAGAACTGTTGATTCTATTGATGATCTTTTGATGCTTTTCCCTATTAGTCCGAGATAAAACCTTAAGCGACAGGAGTAAAATTGCGCTTTATATACCTCTATGTATACTTTGAATGGGCCTTACAATTTCCTAGAAATACATATTAGAAATGTTACCAAGCTGGAATGTATTGCTAACAGATCAGGTGATGTATAATCCATTCACATTTTAAAGGTTAGATGTTATCTGGTAATGTGACCGAGGAGGGAGTGAAATTTAACATTTTTTTATGTCTTGACAATCTTTGAGGTAGTGGTGGGTGAATGGAGAGGAAGCCCCATAGGAAGAGTACAAACAACAGCCAAATGAAAAATAGGCCTGAATAGATATTTAGCTGGAATCATGAGAGAGAAGGAAAGCAGATGTTAAGGAAGTTGATAGAGAGAAGGCTTTGCAAATGCTATGGTTACCGAGAAAACCTGAACAAGATTGTAAATGCCTTCTTTTTTTCTATTATTACTTTATTCCCATTTGATTGTGTTTCCTGGGCCAAACTGTAATAAAAAGCTGGTTTTGGAGAATTAGATCATACAAGAGATCACAAGAAAAAATTGCCTCTTTTGATCCAATCTTTTCAGAATACCCAGTGCTACCCACCATCAAGCTGTGTTTCTTTTAATGAATCCAACATCCTTACCTTAACCACATATCCTGGTAACCTGGTCCAGTTGTTAATTATGATCTGGGTATAGAAATACTTCCTGGTGTCTGTCCTGAAATTGCTCTGTGCAATCCTAATTCTCTTGTTGTACTTTCTCAGTGCATGTGAAAGTATTGTTCTTGAATTATTTTCTCAATCCCATTTCGAAAGTTTTGTTCCTTAAAAAAGGTCCCCTCTGAAATGTCTTATTTCAAGAGCCCTAACTTGTTCACTCGATTCTCATAGCTCATTGCTTTAGTGCAGGGAATCATCCTCATCACTCTTCTCTCTTCTTCTAAGGGCTGGGCAGTTGCTGATGTGACAGTGGCCAGAAGTGCATATAGCGCTCTACATGCAACCTGACCAGACCATTGCAGGATGGTGCTGTTGTACTATTTCCTACAGTATGGGTAAATGGAGGCCATAGTAAAATGTGAAATTGGATCAGGCCAGAGTGAGGAATACTTATATAAACAGGAACTCAGCTTCCAAGCATAATAAATAATCTATAATAAAACACAGCATTTTAAGTAGTAGTAACCTTCCATATGCTTGACTGAACTGCTTCCAACTTAAAAACACTGGACAGTATTAAATATGTAAAAAATCATCCGGAGTAGCTGATGATTTTTGACATTCAGACACACAAAGTAGTGAAGTGCCTAATGCTGATCTACATTTCAGTTAATATTTTAGCACCAAGCCTACCTTAGACATTTATTTTTCCCATTTGTGAACTCTAACTGCCCTTGCTTGTATGAATTTGTGTAAAAAAAACAAGTACAATACAGTCATAAACGTCCTACAGAATATGATGTGACTGATGACAACTGAACATCGTGCTAGCTTTACCAATCTGAGCTGTTTGATACAATATGAAGGTTAACTTTCTTTGGAATGAATAAATACATCACTGCATTGTTTAAGAACACCGTTTCCCCACCACACAAACACTGCATTTTACCATATATTCTGTGAAGCACTTTAGATGATCACGTCCTCACAATCTATTAGATATTTATTATTATTTGAGGTGATAATTATCACACTGAATCTTTTACTAGAATAGTAAACTAATAAACCAGACTAAAATTAAACTCTATTCCAATGGGCAAGAATGCACTACAAATAAGACACATTGAGTATAATCCGGATGCACAGTGCCTTGCTGATAAGGAATGTGTTCCCTGTTTTGCGCTGTTGAACAAGATAATATTTTACCTATACTAGGCTCAAGCGCAGCCTATTAAAAGCTTACATTGCTGAACTATGACCGTTTTGTTTTCCTAGTAATAGAGGTGCAATTTTAATAAGCTACATAACAAACACAAGGACAGTAAATGCAGCTGTTAGAGAAAAGCCAACCGGTACGGAAATGACTAAAGAGTCACTTATGGGGGTGGGTTGGGGGAGGGGTGGGGGCAACAATGTGATATCAGGTACCCTATGTTTACCTCCACTAAAACCAGCAACATTCTCTGGCTGTAATGAGAGTAATACAGTTCAGGGAAAGCACATTTGGCACACAAAGAAGGGAATTGAGGGGTATAATTGAGGGGGATAGGAAGGGTAGGTGCTTTGTGGGGCATATAAACACAGACATGGGCTCGTTGATTAAAATGATCAGTTTCAGTGCCGTATCACTCTGTGTAACAATAGAAATAGATCTGGGAAATAGTGAGAGATTCTGAAATGTGTGAGTATGCCCATTGAACATCGAGGTAGTCTCCATGATTCTCAGTGCTCTGACCAAGGTTTAGAAAGCTCTTGGAGCACTGAGGGTGAGTATGATCCCTTCCTTAGCAGCCCATATCGCTTGTGAGTCTGATACTCCAAAGTCCCCCTTTCACAAGCAGGTCATGAAGCATTTGTTTATTAATTCTAAATCTCTGAAAACAGTAAA